TCATTCGAACATCCTGTATAAAAAAAAAAGGAATCGGATAGAAAGCGGGATGTATATAAAACAGTGATGACTCACCTCAAGGTGGGTATGCCATTAGAAAAATTACGATGATCGTAATGAAAAGGCATTTTCCTGCAAAAATCTTTCGCATAAATGAAGAGCGTTTTATTCGGCTGGTTAATCCAATGCGGTGGAAACATACTGCCATCAGTACCATAAATTCGATCGCATTTTTCATCTCCCCAAATCTGATGATTTTCAATCCCGTTAATTCGCTCGATTATCCCAAGATTATCAGTTTCTGAGTGTATCGTGATGCGATCCGGACTTGAACCGTTATTCTGAAAACCGATTCACGTTAAATCAGCATATTTCTTATTTTTAATTTAGAATCGCATTAAATATTGAATCGCAAAATAATAACTGTTTGACTACCGAAGATGTCCGAAACTGGCCGAAGCTACCCGAAAACATAACTGCTGAGTCGCGCCAAAATATAATGTGTAATTTTATTGCATGTAAGATGAACTACTATTTTATAATTATTATAAATAATTTTTGAAATCACTTATAAATAATTTTTGTTATTTATGTATAAATTTTTGAAATATTTTTTGTTTGTTATTTAAACAAAAAAACAGTTATTTAAATTTCAATTTCTATAAAAGTTATGAAATCATAAATAATAATTAATTCAATTAAGTCAAATCTAGGTAATATTTATTTACTTTTTTCTATTTGAATTTGGTATAAAATTTTTTTGATTATATAATTTTATCTTTATGAAATATAAAAATTAATGTATATTATATTTACTTTTTCCTTATAATCAACTTAAAACATTTCTAATGATTTCAAATTTAAAATTGAAATAATATCTTATGTAATTAAATTCAGATTGATATATGTAATCTTTAAAAAATGAGAGTTAAGCTAGATAAAAGGAGATTACTATGCACTATTATTTTTGAAATATAAATATAAGAAACAGATATATGATGAAGAAAATAACAACAATGAATCTTAAAATGAAAACAAATATATATATATGAAAAAAATAGATATAACTAGTAGCGATTAAATCAAAACAAAGTAAAATATGAAAATCAAAATAATTGAAACAAAAAAGAAACAGAAACAGAAAAATTTAAATTATATATAAAATCAAATATAAAATGCTAGCATAATAAACTATATTTTTTAAAAAAAATTATGGTTATATCATTTAACTAATCACTGTATCACTGTATCACTGTATCATTATATCACTATATCACTGTATCACTGTATTACAACTTTTTACTTTTTATTTATTTTTAAGAAAAATATTGCAATTTTTATTATATTGATCACTATTAGTAAATTCAACACAGTTTATATCATAAATAAAAACATCTACATTTTCATTAATTATAGACATAATTTTTTCTTGAATTATACAATGACTTCAATTTACTAGATTTTTATATTATAAATTTTACATTATAAACTAACATATTATTGAATTACAGAAAGAATGAAAAGCTCATAAAACAAGGATAAGGAAAATGCAAAAAAATATTATTATAAATATACGTACGAAGGCGAGAAGTCCAAATTTATCCAGAGTAAAAACCGAGCGTAATGATGAGAATCGTTTGGCCACTTCATACAATTCGTCCTCATAACCCCAGAGGTATTGACCGACCGATAATTCGAGAAAGGGTTCTGCACGTATTCTCGAGAGGAACATGGTCAATCCGATTTGAAATAGGTAACTAAGATTTCGAGAAAACGCTAGCGTCGACATCAACATCACGTTAGGTACAATCACCCTTTCATTCTCCGATTTACCAGAGATCCATTGGTATCTTTTCCTCTCCTGATACGTGATCGTGCCATTCTCGTGTATTTCGACGTTTACCCGGCTCAAATTCTCCCGATAGATGAATGGTCCAACCTCCTCTACCTTCAATTTAGTCGCTTTTCCGCTCTCGAACTCGCGCACGTTCGTGTAATTGAAAACGTAGATTTTGATTTCAAGGTTAACAGGCGGCTTTTGCCAGAGCAGAAAGGATGAAGTACCATTCTTTAACTCAAGATTGGAGAGGATCGTATCGTGAAATACGCTTGTATACCAAAACAGGATGAACATCGTGACGCTGATCAGTGCAGTGAATCCATATAGCCAACGAACGTGCTGTCTCCGCGTTCCTCCGTTCAAGCTCTTTTGAATTGCCCGCGCAATATTTTTCTTCTCCATAATGTTTTTAAAAGAATTATATCAACATCAGTCGACTTATCTTTCTCAAATTAAAAGTCTTGAAATTTTTTTTCGAATCGATCGAATTTTTCAAATTCTCGCCCGTTCGACGAGTCTTTCGTCGTCTTTCGATCACTTTCGATGCGTTTTCGACGCTCTACTGAGTTCCGCGGAACGATCACAACGATCACAACGATGTACAAAAATCTCCCCACCTTTTCTCGATTCATCGATAACCTCGTCGTGACAGTGATGACCTCCGCCACCAAANCTTGGTATGTTCGAATCCTCCTCTTACCGTTCATAACTTCTCTTTTCTAGA